CTTGCCATTTCTTAAATTGTTATTTTTTGCATCTGGTCACCTCGGTTTCGCTGCGAAATCGCTAAATTCCCCGATTGCACCAGGCACGCAGAAGTGTCCAGAAAGCGGCAGAGATTTTGTGGACACAGGGTGTCAGGTAGGCAAAATTTCACACATCCGGCGCCTTAAAGTATGCAACGCAATCTTTGCGGAAGTGGGTCAACTTAAATTTCCGGCATGCGCAGTGTAATTACCTACAGTGCATTTTTGCGTGCCTTAGCAATATGTTCATGTATGTAGAAGAAATTGAATTTGAAAAATTTTTTTGCGCAAATTCGATTTTTACCTTCTTCACCTCCTTAAAGAAAAAAAATACGGGAGAAAATATGATTTTAATGAAACACAGTTGTTACATTTTTGTATTAAACAATTTTATTTTGTATAATTTTCCAAAAATTTATTGGAAAATAGTTTTAACACATTCAATTTAAGTAGTTTTTTGGTTTTATCAGAAAAAACAAAAACTTACGTATACATACTTATTTATATGTATACACTGGTGGCAGAAATAATATACACGCATTATTTTTTGACCAGTTCTGGCTATATTTCTTTTGTTTATTCAATGTTTAATATATTTGAAGGAAGTCTTGCTCATTATATATCTGCGTTTTTAGCTTTTTTCCCTGAAGTCAGGGCCCGAATCGCGGCATTCGATATCGAACGTAACTGGAATCTAAATTTGACTTTGAGATCACGGCATTCGACAACGAGTGTACTTTTCCTATTTAAATTATATTGTGGATAAAACGGCTGTCATTTTGTTTGGTTCGATAAGAAACGAGTAATCCACTCGACCACGAATTGCGCCATTCGGGACCAGGATTTTCTTTTAAAGGACTTTCAAATTTCAAAGATATGATTAACTAAAAATTCAGTGCAATGTAGAATAACAATATGGGCACCCAATGAAAGAGAATAACTATTCTGTGGAAATAAAAAAACTAACATTTTTGAGTCATAAGGAAAAATAGGTATTGAAAAAAAAGCCTTTTGAATAATTTTTATTTTTTTTAAGTTAATAAGTTAGATGGATAAAATTCGAATGAAGTTGTCGTGTAAAAAGCAAAAAAGCCACAACTAACTAAATTTGTTTAGTCATTTATTGAGTTGATCAAATCTTAGAAATTGAAAAAAAAAATATCCTGATGTCAGAGAGAAAAACCGAAACCGCAGTTTTCTTATATTTGGCCGCTTCTATTGCGAGTGTATTGAGTTTTTGGTGAGTAAAATTTACTATCGCACAGTGTAATAAATGCGCATTTCTAACTTTATACAAATATTATAAAAATTCAAAAAGTTGTCACCAAAATTTCAAACCTTTTATTCACTTTAGGTATACAGTTAAAAGCCAATTCAATTTTAGTGTAAATATGTATTTTCCCTTGACTAGCACATCACAATTCGTAAAATTTTTGTGGATAAAATGCTACGCGCCCATGGAACAGTTATGAAAAATATCAAACCAAAAATACATACAAACATACATATGTACTTACAAATGTATGAATGAATACAAGAAAAAATCAAAATCGCTTCAGACATGCCGCTAATTTCATACATTCACATCGCACGAAGAAACATAAGCATGTAGAATAAAATTGCCATAAGTGCATACATACATTAATACACTCATGGACAAAATAAAAGGTATGCGAGACGTTTTGACCAGTTTTGATTATTTTTATTTAAGGCTTATATATAAATAAAAAAAGTCTAGCCCTTATTAAACAAACATAAATACATAAATCCACATTTAGAACTTTTGTAAAACAAATTTTCTAACTTTTATAGTCAACAATTTTATTTTTCAATTTTTTTCAATATTACTATATCAATATTATTTTCAAGTTCAATAAAAGTATTAAAAAAGACCATAAATATCGAGCAAAAATAAATTTTCACAATTTTTATAAAATTTTTTGTTATGCACTTTTGTAGCATATGATACATGGCGAAATTATAAACAGGGCTCGAACTCTCACTTACGATATCGTATTACTCGTCACGTAAAAACACATGTTTCGGATTATGAAATACGTGAACGTACTTATTTATCTCTTTTAGCTTATACGTATTGTTTTCGATCCGTGAATGAATGTTACGATTAGACCCCAGGTGATGTAATAACAGCTTTTTTGCATTCGGCTACCTTAAAGCAATTTTTAAAGGCAAATTTTCAAATAAGATAGTGTTAAATCTTTCTTCTGGCTTACTTCACCTGGTATAATTTCACGATGGACATGATGTAGTTTCGAGTACGTGTACGAGTGTACAATTCATGTGGGAGGAAAAACGTAGAACCGTCAACAAAAAAGTTTAAAAGTCAATGCGAATTCTTAGCCGCTTCACATGCAAAGTGCATTGTTCTAAAAATTAATGGACTATAACTTTCTAAAAATGTTAATTAAAAATTTAAATTTTAGTAAAAATTTTATGAATTTTACTATCTGTACAAAGTTTGATAGATATGTGGATTTATAAGGTGTTTGTTACATAACGAGCTAGACTTTTATTAAAAACTCAGAATCAAAGAAAAAGAATAAAAATAGTCGACACGAGTCAAACTACTGCACATTAATTTTTATTTATTTTTTTTTTGTCTACGAGTGTATGTAGTATGCATATTTATAAATAAATTTAAATCTCAGTAAAAAGGCTTCATTGGGAAGGAATGAAATTTTGAGAGAAAGCAGTTTTCATTCATACGGCCCATTATGTGTACAAATAAAGTATATATTTTTTAATTCAAGAGACGCACAATTAATAAATTAAATTAAATTAAATTAAATACCATTCTGTATTTAAGTATTTTTTTCACATATGTTTTATTTTTTTTTTTGTTATACCGAAGTACAAGTTTTTGCCCCCACACCACCACACATTATAGAAGCTATTTATTGGCGATTTGAATCTTGACTTGTAGCTGCAAAGTGTCATAATCCAAAAAATCAACTCAAGAAGAACGGCTTTTAAGTTGTGAATTTACATACTTATACTCATATAGTAAAAATCAATATAAATTTTGTTCTAGTGAACTACTGGGAATCGTTAATGTTTAGAAATCTTTATACAACATAGAAGAACAGGTAGCCGTCATTTCTGAATCTAACTCAATTATTTTTATTTTTATATTTTTTTATGATGGCTCTCTTGCAGCAAATGTGCGATATGAACATTTTCTATCCCATACGATGCTGGGATTAATTTCGTTGGCATGTGGCGTGTGGCAGCAGCTGATGCACGTAAGTGACGCTATCAACCTTGGCAATACATTTGGCTACGAAAATAATCTCTGACGTATTGCCGGTTCGATTGTATGTAAAAATAAATTCGCGATTAATCAGACAAAAATGCAAGAATACCTAGTATAATAATTTAATAAGAAAAGTTGCAGCAATGTACACATTAAATTTTAAACTAAAATATTTTCTTATATTCATTTTCTTTTTTAATTTTTAGTTAGGTTTTACATTAACATCATTTGCTTTTAGCATTGCATTCGCTACAAAAATTTACTTTGATAACACCTTTTGTTTATAATCACAACCCATACATACATACGCACACAAATGTCAAAGGGTGGCGAGGCTAAAATGCCGGTGCTCTGCGCTCAGCACTTTAACCTTCAATTGACTTTGAAAACTATGCGCACAATTTGTTTGCATCACAGCGTAAAAAAGACTGCTAAGTCTGCGTACCAATAAACAAAATTTACGCAAATAAATTTAACCACTTTGGACAGCTTTGAAACAACGTGGATACACTTATCAGTGCCGGCCAAGAACTTTGACAATAGAAACGCCATATCAGCGCGCATCAGCTTGCAGCAGCGTCGCAGTAATGCACTCGCTTTAACAATTTTTTTATTTCAGCAGCCTAATCGGCATAGTTCCACCACTCACCTGCGTCGTACTTCCCGTTCGAATGGCTTCAAATATCCATCTAATCTGAAGAGTTCATCAATATGTTTAACTTCGACTTTCATTGGATCCATTTTTTAGAATTTATTTCACAGCCAAACAAGAAGTTAAAATGAAGAAATAATTTGTCTGTGCCTTCTGCACCACTGCTAATACTATCACTCGCTGATTGCGTATGCACTTGTATACTACAGCAAATTTTCCTTTCTGAATACGATCCGACCGCTAAATGTTTGGACGCCAACTGACTCGGTTCACATATGAAAAGCTCTGCGGTGCAAAAGCACAATAACAACTTACATAGCACAGCGAATGTCACAGCAAAGGGGCGCCCGAGACAATACACCAAACAGCTGTTCGAAAGCATTGGGGACAACTAAAAAGCACCACCGCGAAGTTTGTGTGTAGTTTACTGCGCTTTCTTTTTTGCCCCCCTTTGCCTCCCCAGACCCTCAACCGATACATACCGCTTATTGGGGATATTCATAGTCGAAATGAAATCGACTCTAAGGCTAGTTATAACTTTTTAACATAGTTTTCAACGGAAATTCTGTCAAAAAAGCTGCTTAGAATAGATTTTATTTTATCGATGAGTATGTCCAATTATTTTTAATAAAATGCTAATAGAGATCATCATTTTCTGTGAAAAATAGTTTTTTCTCTTTAAATAAAAGCCTATTTATGAGGGTAAATTAAAAGGACGCAATATGCATATTTTATTTATTATGAAAACAAAATTGCTTGTTAAAAAGTGCTTAAATCAATATAACAACTATTATAGTTTAGCCGTTTAAGTTTGTATATAAACTATCGCAAATTATTTGTTTCTACCGGGTGCCAAGAAAATAAATTTAACACAAATTGCTTGGAAGAAATGCTAAGCTGCAGAAACGGTGCATTAATTAATGCTACTTCTCGACATTTTTGCAGAAAATGTTTGACATAGTGAAAAGGTTGAAATTACTAAAAACATTTGTAAGCACGTGAGAAAAATATAGTTTATGAAAATATTGTCAATTGTGTATATAGAATTTCAAATTAAAGAAAAGGGGCAAAAGTCACTTGATTTTTAATAAAAGTTTCAAAATAAGTCTATTTTTAAAACGTCGATTTCCAAAAAGTGTCGACTTTAGTATGAACTTTATGTACGCAGGTATGAAAAAAACTCGCAACTTCTACAGTTTTGGAGTTTCCATTCTCAAATTTTTACAGCTTACTCCAAAAAGCTTGATAACTATTCAGGTTGAAAAAAAAAATAAAAATCAAACATGATGAAGTTAATAAAAATAAATAAAAAAATGCGATTTTTTATTCCAAATTTTATTTTTATTTTAATCTATTTCACACTCTCATGGAAAGCCGAGGTAATTACGCACCTTTTGATACCTTAACTGATTTGCTCCGCCAAATAATTTATTAACTGCAAACAATTAAAAAAATATACTTTTCCGTGAGTTAAAATTTTCGGGATTTTTTTTTTCAAGATTTTCGAATATCATGACGAAATAAAAAAATAGGTGTCTTCTTTTTTTCGATAAAGAATGTAAAAAAATATATTTCACCCCAAACAAAAATATTGAGGTGTAAATATTGTATGGAATGACCCATATGTATCTATGGAGCATTTTTGTTTCGCAACAACCCAGCCAGCAAAAATCAGGAAAAGGAAAAAAGTGGATGTAATGAGGATTTTTGTCCGTTTACCGATTCCGTTTTCGGATACTTTGACGATCCGGCAGAAACGTATGCACAGAAAAGTACCGAAAATTATCGTGAAACGTATACTGTTAAGGCAGTTTTTCTAAACTTTTTCCTTATGCATTTCACAGATGATTTTTCAAAAAATAAGTTAAGGAAGCGCCTAACGGCATTCGAAGCCGAGATCTTCTGAAAGCTAACAAACACTAGCAAACAACATTCATCCTCATTGCGTAAGTCGTAAATTAGGCTGAATTGTTCGACTCGACAACATTGGCATTGCCTACTGTCGTGCCGAAATAAGTAAACGACGAAAATTGTCGAAAGCTATACAGTGTTGCCAAGTTTTTCCGTTTTAATACACTAGTCGAGTCGAAATTTTAGGTAATGACATGCAATTTTCGATACGATTCGACTCTCGAAAAACTACTTGCATTCGATACGACTCCCGCAATGAGGCTGATTATCTTTTTCGAACGTTTTCCGGGTACGGAAAATTAATGATTGTGGTATTTTTGTTCGTTTCCGGATACGAAAAATTGTACTAGACCGCGCTGTCGGCGAAATTTACACATTTCTCTACTGGCTGGGATCGAGGTTTTTCAGGGGCTCAGCAAAAATTTTGTTATATTAAGTTGGTCGTTTTATCAAGGTTTCACTGCACTGTGTGGCCGAGATTAGCTGCAAATCGAAAAATTCCATGTCAGCACAGGGTCTCACTGCCGTTTCATACGTTCCCATTGTCAGAAAATCGGCAGGCCGCTTAATGGTATAAAATGTTATCTACACCGGGCGCGGAATCGAGGAAACCCCTAATAATGTAGTTGCGCAAATAATGCATTTCCATCAATTATAGTTTAGAAATGAAAAAGACTGCTGCTTTAGGTTGATGCGTTTCTGAACACAGCCTACACTTGCAATTTGTGGCGGCAAACCAGCTGCCGGTTAAACGAAAAGTGGAACAAGGGAACGACACTGAGAGGGTCTGGAATCGTTTTTGTTTTGTTTGCTACGTTTGCTCAAATAATAACCAACCTATTTAGCCTCGCGGCTGAGAATTCTTCTCACTCTATGGGAAACTAGTTTTTCTTTAATTCATTCGGATCCAAAAGAAAAATGTCCATCTAAATTCTATTATAAACTGTTTTCGTTCTTCGTCCAAACACTTTTTTTTGAGACCCATTAAAATTAAAATAAAAAAAAACACTAAACCCGTTTTCTTGTAATTTCAGAGGTCTTAGCAAAATGGGTCTTATTGAAATTCAGCGTAAGAATAATGTGCCGATTATGGATAGCAACGCAATCTCAGTTGGGTTGCCGATGGGCTACGCCACTGAAATGAAAATGTATATTATGGATAGCGATATGGTTAACTGCTCTGAGGTAGTAGAAGATAATTCAGGTAAAAGCAATCAATGCTGAATGAAAGCAAGCTGCACAGTTGGAAAAAAATGCTCAATCAAAAATTCCGCGGCAGCCACAAAAATTCAGTTGCTAGTATAGCAAATCTGTTGCCGGCTTACAATTGCTAGTAGCTATCGGTAATGCCATTCCAACCACTGGCAACGCAACAGAAGTTCGGTTGCCCATAACTGTTTTTTTTTTTTTGTTGTAAGTCGAAAATTATTCCAATAATTTCTTCCGCGAGCTCAAGGTGCATCTTTCGGTTGACCTAAGCAGCACTTTTTAAAGGCAACGATTTGTTATTTCAACAACTTAACTACTACACCTTAGCTGAGCTTACATATTTCTAAAACTGAATTTACACTAGGCATTGAATGACAAAGTTTCTAATGACAATGTTGGGCAATAAAAAATACTATAACGTAGATAATAATTCATAAAAATAGTCATTATATCTGTTTCCACGTTGCATTTTTTAAATAGCATACAATTTTTTGTCCTTCCAATGCCTAGTAGAAATTCGGAATTATTCCTAATAATTTCCACACTAAAAAGTAAAAAAAGAAGGAAATACAATAAAATTATGAAATAAATTTTCGTCTTTATTTTATTTTGTATATGTACTTGCATGTATGTAATGTGTAATATTATTGGAGCAATATTAACTTCCATGTATGGATTATTACACTGTGCTTGAAGCGGGATCTTTTGTTTTTTTTTTTTAATTATTATTTTAATAATTTTCTTTTTTGGAGCAATCAGCGGCACTTGGTCAGTAGAAGGGTATAGCCACACTACCAGCTTAGCAAGCCCAGATACTCCCAGTTTA